CTGTGGGTCTGTGTCTCTCTCTGTCTTTTCTCTGTGGGTCTGTGTCTCTCTCTCTGTCTTTTCTCTGTGGGTCTGTGTCTCTCTCTCTGTCTTTTCTCTGTGGGTCTGTGTCTCTCTCTCTGTCTTTTCTCTGTGGGTCTGTGTCTCTCTCTCTGTCTTTTCTCTGTGGGTCTGTGTCTCTCAGTCTTTTCTCTGTGGGTCTGTGTCTCTCTCTCTCTGTCTTTTCTCTGTGGGTCTGTGTCTCTCTCTCTCTGTCTTTTCTCTGTGGGTCTGTGTCTCTCTCTCTGTCTTTTCTCTGTGGGTCTGTGTCTCTCTCTCTGTCTTTTCTCTGTGGGTCTGTGTCTCTCTCTCTGTCTTTTCTCTGTGGGTCTGTGTCTCTCTCTCTGTCTTTTCTCTGTGGGTCTGTGTCTCTCTCTCTGTCTTTTCTCTGTGGGTCTGTGTCCCTGTCTCTGGGTCTCTCTGTCTTTTCTCTGTGGGTCTGTGTCTCTCTCTCTGTGGTCTGTCTTTCTCTGTCTTTTCTCTGTGGGTCTGTGTCTCTCTCTCTGTCTTTTCTCTGTGGGTCTGTGTCTCTCTCTCTGTCTTTTCTCTGTGGGTCTGTGTCTCTCTCTCTCTGTCTTTTCTCTGTGGGTCTGTGTCTCTCTCTCTGTCTTTTCTCTGTGGGTCTGTGTCTCTCTCTCTGTCTTTTCTCTGTGGGTCTGTGTCTCTCTCTCTGTCTTTTCTCTGTGGGTCTGTGTCTCTCTCTCTGTCTTTTCTCTGTGGGTCTGTGTCTCTCTCTCTGTCTTTTCTCTGTGGGTCTGTGTCTCTCTCTCTGTCTTTTCTCTGTGGGTCTGTGTCTCTCTGTCTTTTCTCTGTGGGTCTGTTCTCTCTCTCTGTCTTTTCTCTGTGGGTCTGTGTCTCTCTCTCTGTCTTTTCTCTGTGGGTCTGTGTCTCTCTCTCTGTCTTTTCTCTGTGGGTCTGTGTCTCTCTCTTTTTCTGTGGGTCTGTGTCTCTCTCTCTGTCTTTTCTCTGTGGGTCTGTGTCTCTCTCTCTGTCTTTTCTCTGTGGGTCTGTGTCTCTCTCTCTGTCTTTTCTCTGTGGGTCTGTGTCTCTCTCTCTCTGTCTTTTCTCTGTGGGTCTGTGTCTCTCTGTCTTTTCTCTGTGGGTCTGTGTCTTTCTCTCTGTGTCTCTCTCTCTGTCTTTTCTCTGTGGGTCTGTGTCTCTCTCTCTCTGTCTTTTCTCTGTGGGTCTGTGTCTCTCTCTCTCTGTCTTTTCTCTGTGGGTCTGTGTCTCTCTCTCTGTCTTTTCTCTGTGGGTCTGTGTCTCTCTCTCTCTGTCTTTTCTCTGTGGGTCTGTGTCTCTGTCTTTTCTCTGTGGGTCTGTGTCTCTCTCTCTGTCTTTTCTCTGTGGGTCTGTGTCTCTCTCTCTGTCTTTTCTCTGTGGGTCTGTCTCTCTCTGTCTTTTCTCTGTGGGTCTGTGTCTCTCTCTCAGTCTTTTCTCTGTGGGTCTGTGTCTCTCTCTCTCTGTCTTTTCTCTGTGGGTCTGTGTCTCTCTCTCTGTCTTTTCTCTGTGGGTCTGTGTCTCTCTCTCTGTCTTTTCTCTGTGGGTCTGTGTCTCTCTCTCTGTCTTTTCTCTGTGGGTCTGTGTCTCTCTCTCTCAGTCTTTTCTCTGTGGGTCTGTGTCTCTGTCTTTTCTCTGTGGGTCTGTGTTTCTCTGTCTTTTCTCTGTGGGTCTGTGTCTCTCTCTCTGTCTTTTCTCTGTGGGTCTGTGTCTCTCTGTCTTTTCTCTGTGGGTCTGTGTCTCTCTCTCTGTCTTTTCTCTGTGGGTCTGTGTCTCTCTCTCTGTCTTTTCTCTGTGGGTCTGTGTCTCTCTGTCTTTTCTCTGTGGGTCTGTGTCTCTCTCTCTCTGTCTTTTCTCTGTGGGTCTGTGTCTCTCTCTCTCTGTCTTTCCTCTGTGGGTCTGTGTCTCTCTCTCTGTCTTTTCTCTGTGGGTCTGTGTCTCTCTGTCTTTTCTCTGTGGGTCTGTGTCTCTCTGTCTTTTCTCTGTGGGTCTGTGTCTCTCTCTCTGTCTTTTCTCTGTGGGTCTGTCTCTCTCTGTCTTTTCTCTGTGGGTCTGTCTCTCTCTGTCTTTTCTCTGTGGGTCTGTGTCTCTCTCTCAGTCTTTTCTCTGTGAGTCTGTGTCTCTCTCTCTGTCTTTTCTCTGTGGGTCTGTGTCTCTCTCTCTGTCTTTTCTCTGTGGGTCTGTGTCTCTCTCTCTGTCTTTTCTCTGTGGGTCTGTCTCTCTCTGTCTTTTCTCTGTGGGTCTGTGTCTCTCTCTCTCGGTCTTTTCTCTGTGGGTCTGTGTCTCTCTCTCTCAGTCTTTTCTCTGTGGGTCTGTGTCTCTCTCTCTGTCTTTTCTCTGTGGGTCTGTGTCTCTCTCTCAGTCTTTTCTCTGTGGGTCTGTGTCTCTGTCTTTTCTCTGTGGGTCTGTGTCTCTCTCTCTGTCTTTTCTCTGTGGGTCTGTGTCTCTCTCTCTGTCTTTTCTCTGTGGGTCTGTGTCTCTCTCTCTGTCTTTTCTCTGTGGGTCTGTGTCTCTCTCTCTCTGTCTTTTCTCTGTGGGTCTGTGTCTCTCTGTCTTTTCTCTGTGGGTCTGTGTCTCTCTGTCTTTTCTCTGTGGGTCTGTGTCTCTCTCTCTCTGTCTTTTCTCTGTGGGTCTGTGTCTCTCTCTCTCTGTCTTTTCTCTGTGGGTCTGTGTCTCTCTCTCTGTCTTTTCTCTGTGGGTCTGTGTTTCTCTGTCTTTTCTCTGTGGGTCTGTGTCTCTCTGTCTTTTCTCTGTGGGTCTGTGTCTCTCTCTCTGTCTTTTCTCTGTGGGTCTGTGTCTCTCTCTCTGTCTTTTCTCTGTGGGTCTGTGTCTCTCTCTCAGTCTTTTCTCTGTGGGTCTGTGTCTCTCTCTCTCTGTCTTTTCTCTGTGGGTCTGTGTCTCTCTGTCTTTTCTCTGTGGGTCTGTGTCTCTCTCTCTGTCTTTTCTCTGTGGGTCTGTCTCTCTCTGTCTTTTCTCTGTGGGTCTGTGTCTCTCTCTCAGTCTTTTCTCTGTGGGTCTGTGTCTCTCTCTCTGTCTTTTCTCTGTGGGTCTGTGTGTCTCTCTCTGTCTTTTCTCTGTGGGTCTGTGTCTCTCTGTCTTTTCTCTGTGGGTCTGTCTCTCTCTGTCTTTTCTCTGTGGGTCTGTGTCTCTCTCTCTCTGTCTTTTCTCTGTGGGTCTGTGTCTCTCTCTCTCTGTCTTTTCTCTGTGGGTCTGTGTCTCTCTGTCTTTTCTCTGTGGGTCTGTGTCTCTCTCTCTGTCTTTTCTCTGTGGGTCTGTGTCTCTCTCTCTCAGTCTTTTCTCTGTGGGTCTGTGTCTCTCTCTCTCTGTCTTTTCTCTGTGGGTCTGTGTCTCTCTCTGTCTTTTCTCTGTGGGTCTCTCTCTCTCTGTCTTTTCTCTGTGGGTCTGTGTCTCTCTCTCTGTCTTTTCTCTGTGGGTCTGTGTCTCTCTCTCTCTGTCTTTTCTCTGTGGGTCTGTGTCTCTCTGTCTTTTCTCTGTGGGTCTGTGTCTCTCTCTCTCTGTCTTTTCTCTGTGGGTCTGTGTCTCTCTCTCTGTCTTTTCTCTGTGGGTCTGTGTCTCTCTCTCTCTGTCTTTTCTCTGTGGGTCTGTGTCTCTCTGTCTTTTCTCTGTGGGTCTGTGTCTCTCTCTCTGTCTTTTCTCTGTGGGTCTGTGTCTCTCTCTCTCAGTCTTTTCTCTGTGGGTCTGTGTGTCTCTCTCTGTCTTTTCTCTGTGGGTCTGTGTCTCTCTCTCTCTGTCTTTTCTCTGTGGGTCTGTGTCTCTCAGTCTTTTCTCTGTGGGTCTGTGTCTCTCTCTCTCTGTCTTTTCTCTGTGGGTCTGTGTCTCTCTCTCTCAGTCTTTTCTCTGTGGGTCTGTGTCTCTCTCTCTCTGTCTTTTCTCTGTGGGTCTGTGTCTCTCTCTCTCGGTCTTTTCTCTGTGGGTCTGTGTCTCTCTCTCTCTGTCTTTTCTCTGTGGGTCTGTGTCTCTCTCTCTGTCTTTTCTCTGTGGGTCTGTGTCTCTCTCTCTCTCTGTCTTTTCTCTGTGGGTCTGTGTCTCTCTCTCTGTGGGTCTGTGTCTCTCTCTCTCTCTGTCTTTTCTCTGTGGGTCTGTGTCTCTCTCTCAGTCTTTTCTCTGTGGGTCTGTGTCTCTGTCTTTTCTCTGTGGGTCTGTGTCTCTCTCTCTCTGTCTTTTCTCTGTGGGTCTGTGTCTCTCTCTCTCGGTCTTTTCTCTGTGGGTCTGTGTCTCTCTCTCAGTCTTTTCTCTGTGGGTCTGTGTCTCTCTCTCTCTGTCTTTTCTCTGTGGGTCTGTGTCTCTCTCTCTGTCTTTTCTCTGTGGGTCTGTGTCTCTGTCTTTTCTCTGTGGGTCTGTGTCTCTCTGTCTTTTCTCTGTGGGTCTGTGTCTCTCTCTCTGTCTTTTCTCTGTGGGTCTGTGTCTCTCTCTCAGTCTTTTCTCTGTGGGTCTGTGTCTCTCTCTCTCTGTCTTTTCTCTGTGGGTCTGTGTCTCTCTCTCTCTGTCTTTTCTCTGTGGGTCTGTGTCTCTCTGTCTTCTCTCTGTGTCTCTCTGTCTTCTCTCTGTGTCTCTCTCTCTCTGTCTTTTCTCTGTGGGTCTGTGTCTCTCTCTCTCTGTCTTTTCTCTGTGGGTCTGTGTCTCTCTCTGTCTTTTCTCTGTGGGTCTGTGTCTCTCTCTGTCTTCTCTCTGTGTCTCTCTCTCTCTCTGTCTTTTCTCTGTGGGTCTGTGTCTCTCTCTCTCTGTCTTTTCTCTGTGGGTCTGTGTCTCTCTGTCTTTTCTCTGTGGGTCTGTGTCTCTCTGTCTTTTCTCTGTGGGTCTGTGTCTCTCTCTCTCTGTCTTTTCTCTGTGGGTCTGTGTCTCTCTCAGTCACAGTTTGTCTGCAGCAGGAGAGTTGTATCTGAGTTTACTGCAGACAACACTTCCATGAGGACGTTAGGGCCGTAACAGACAGAAACAGAAACATGCAGTCGCTCACAGGCTTTTATGTTTTAGAGAGAGAGAAAGGTGTTTTAAGTTCATTCAAGAAAAAACATACATGCAACGTTTTGGTTTTGGCTTTCTTTTTTCAATGATCCTAGGGTTTTAAGATAGAGAGATAGAGAGACGGAGAGAAAGAGAGACGAGAGAGAGAGAGGTAGAGAGAGAGAGAGAGTCAGAGAGAGAGATAGAGAGAGAGAGGTAGAGAGAGAGAGATAGAGAGAGAGAAGTAGAGAGACTGAGAGAGAGAGAGAGACGAGAGAGAGAGGTAGAGAGAGAGAGAAAGGTAGAGAGAGATAGAGACACGGGGAGAGAGAGAGACGAGAGAGAGAGGTAGAGAGAGAGAGACGGAGAGAGAGGTAGAGAGAGAGAGACGGAGAGAGAGGTAGAGAGAGAGAGAGGTAGAAAGAGAGAGATGTAGAGAGAGAGAGATAGAGAGAGAGAGATACGGAGAGAGAGAGTGGTAAAGAGAGAGAGAGAGGTAGAGAGACGGAGAGAGAGGTAGAGAGATAGAGGTAGAGAGAGAGAGAGAGCGAGGTAGAGAGAGAGAGAGGTAGAGAGAGAGAGATAGAGAGAGACAGATACGGAGAGAGAGAGAGGTAAAGAGAGAGAGAGAGGTAGAGAGACGGAGAGAGAGGTAGAGAGATAGAGGTAGAGAGAGAGAGAGAGCGAGGTAGAGAGAGAGAGAGGTAGAGAGAGAGAGATAGAGAGAGACAGATACGGAGAGAGAGAGAGGTAAAGAGAGAGAGAGAGGTAGAGAGAGAGAGAGAGGTAAAGAGAGAGAGAGAGGTAAAGAGAGAGAGAGAGGTATAGAGAGAGAGGTAGAGAGAGAGATAGAGGGATTAGAAAGAACATTTTGGGTTCATTAATTAGAACAGAATAAATGTATCTTTGCAAAAGTGACAAAAAATAAGTTAAAAAAATAATTTGAGCAGATTGTGACTTAAAACAAGATTCTGAAATGTCCCCACTGTGGGACAAATAAATGATCTCTTAATCTTGTTTTAAAATACAAGACGTTTTTGGAATAAATATCTCTGTCTCTTTGGAGAGTATGGTTTTAACACAACTCAACAAAATAAATAAAAACCAATAGATTTAAGCAACTTTTACCACATATTTGATCATTTTTTACAGTGAAAACCAGCCATGAGCAGATATTATGTACATTTCTCTATAGCGAGATCAACACAGTTTCATCTTAATCAAATAAGCAGCAGACTGGTTTGAGGTTAACGGCTGGGGAGGGTCCGGGGGCCGTACAGAGCTGTGAATGGGGCCGGCTGTGTCCCCCGGGCCACACTTTGCTCAGGTCTCTTTGATGACGTCAGCCTCAGTCAGTCCTAACCTACAGCACGGTCTGTCATTGTGTGTCATTCACTGCACACAAACCATAGTAACAATGAGTACCCGCCGCACAGACTTTCTTTCAGGTGGAGCCGCAGCGTCCGCCTGACACAGAGCTTACACCCTGCTGCTGCTGCTACTGCTACTGCTGCTGCTGCTGCTGCTGCTACTGCTGCTGCTGCTGCTGCTGCTACTGCTGCTGCTGCTGCTGCTGCTGCTGCTGCTACTGCTGCTGCTGCTGCTACTGCTGCTACTGCTACTGCTGCAACTGCTGCTACTGCTGCTGCTGCTGCTGCTGCTGCTGCTGCTGCTGCTGCTGCTGCTGCTGCTACTGCTGCTGCTACTGTGAATGAACCGCTCTCTCCCCGAGCTACGAATGAATGAACATCAGAATGAATGAAAAGCCTCATGCAACAATCTCTACACACACCCGCACACGCACGCACACACACACACACACACACACACACACACACACACACACACACACACACACACACACACACACACACACACACACACACACACACACAAACACACACACACACACACACACACACACACACACACTTACACACCCGCACACACACACAGACACACACACACTTGCCGCAAGCAGCGTCGAACAGCCCTCGCCGCACCGCGCGCAGCACCCCGCACCAAGCCGCCCCGCCCGCACCAAGCCGCCCCGCACCAAGCCCCTCCGCACCAAGCCGTCCCGCACCAAGCCGTCCCGCACCAAGCCGTCCCGCACCAAGCCGTCCCGCGTCAAGCCGTCCCGCGTCAAGCCGCCCCGCACCAAGCCGCCCCGCACCAAGCCCCTCCGCACCAAGCCCCTCCGCACCAAGCCCCTCCGCACCAAGCCGTCCCGCACCAAGCCGTCCCGAATTAAGCCGTCCCGCGTCAAGCCGCCCCGCACCAAGCCGCCCCGCACCAAGCCCCTACGCGTCAAGCCCCTCCGCACCAAGCCCCTCCGCACCAAGCCGCCCCGCACCAAGCCGCCCCGCACCAAGCCGCCCCGCACCAAGCCGCCCCGCACCAAGCCCCTCCGCACCAAGCCCCTCCGCACCAAGCCGTCCCGCACCAAGCCGTCCCGAATTAAGGCGTCCCGCACCAAGCCGTCCCGCACCAAGCCGTCCCGCACCAAGCCGTCCCGCACCAAGCCGTCCCGCACCAAGCCGCCCCGCACCAAGCCCCTCCGCACCAAGCCCCTCCGCACCAAGCCCCTCCGCACCAAGCCCCTCCGCATCAAGCCCCTCCGCACCAAGCCGTCCCGCACCAAGCCGTCCCGAATTAAGCCTTCCCGCGTCAAGCCGCCCCGCACCAAGCCGCCCCGCACCAAGCCGCCCCGCACCAAGCCGCCCCGCACCAAGCCGCCCCGCACCAAGCCCCTACGCGTCAAGCCGCTCCGCACCAAGCCGCCCCGCACCAAGCCGCCCCGCACCAAGCCCCTCCGCACCAAGCCGTCCCGCACCAAGTTGTCCTGCACCAAGCCGTCCCGCACCAAGTTGTCCCGCACCAAGCCGTCCCGAATTAAGCCGTCCCGCACCAAGCCGCCCCGCACCAAGCGGCCCCGCACCGTACCACGGAGCACCGCGCAAAGGAGGTGGCGCCGCCGTGTGATGATGTGTTCTGTTGCCATAGAAGAACGTTAGTCAAATTGTAATGAATATGATAAGTAGAGCTGTTTGGCTCCCCATGTAAAACTTTGCCTCAGTCTGTAGGGGGCGCTATTGGGCCAATTTTAAATATTTCACTTTCACCTGACTTCACTTTCAATAACAAACCTGTTGAAGCCATTGGTCCTTAGGGGGATAGAGACCACTGTCCAGAAATATAAATAAATGTCCTTAAAATGTCATGATCATCATTTGCTCCTTAGACCGTACTGCATCAGCAAAGAACGACTCAGAAAAGCCAGTGACCCCCCTCTCTCTCCCCCTCTCTCTCTGTCTCTCTCTACCCCCCTCTCTCTCCCCCTCTCTCTCTGTCTCTCTCCACCCCCCTCTCTCTCCCTCTCTCTCTCTTCTTCCACAGCTTGTTCTGTTTTTACCTCCAACTCTACCTAAACAGTGTGTAATTGAAGTGACCCAGCACTTGACCCGACCACCGGCTGTGAGCGAGGGTTGAATTCCCTCCGTCAAAGCCACAGATGTGATTCTCTCTGACAGCGGCAGCACACCTCTGTAATCACCGCCGCTGCAGAGGCCGCAGCAGAGGCCGCGGCGGAGACGGACCACTCTTTGGGACGCGTCCGGAGCTTTAGCCGAGAGTCTGTCACTGAAAAACATACAGACGTCAACTTTGTTTTTGACCGGGCACAGAGGGAAAAGGTGTGTGGGTGTGTGTGTGAGAGAGAGAGAGAGAGAGAGGGAGAGAGGGAGAGAGAGAGAGGGAGAGAGAGAGAGGGAGAGAGAGAGAGAGAGAGAGAGAGAGAGAGAGAGAGAGAGAGGGAGGGAGAGAGAGAGAGGGAGAGAGAGAGGGAGAGAGAGAGAGAGAGAGAGAGAGAGAGGGAGGGAGAGAGAGAGAGGGAGAGAGAGAGAGAGAGAGAGAGAGGGGGAGAGAGAGAGAGAGGGAGGGAGAGAAAGAGAGGGAGAGAGAGACTGAGAGAGAGAGAGACTGAGAGAAGAGAAAGGTAGGTAAGGAGAGAGGTAAGTAGGTAGAGAAAGAGGGGGGGAAGTAGACAGAGAGAGAGAGAGAGACTGAGAGAGACAGAGAGAGAGAGAGAGAAAGAGAAAGGTAGGTAAGGAGAGAGAGAGAGAGAGGAAAGTAGACAGAGAGAGAGAGACACACTCCTACACACACGCACACATACACACTCCTACACATACGCACACATACACACACATTCACACTCCTACACACACGCACACATACACACTCCTACACATACACACACATTCACACTCCTACACACACGCACACATACACACGCCTACACATACGCACACATACACACACATTCACACTCCTACACACACGCACACATACACACTCCTACACACACGCACACATACACACTCCTACACACACGCACACATACACACACATTCACACTCCTACACACACGCACACATTACACACTCCTACACACACGCACACATCACACTCCTACACACACGCACACATAATACACACATATTCCACTCCTACACACACGCACACAGACACACTCCTACACACACACACACATACACACACACATTCACACTCCTACACACACGCACACATACACACACATTCACACTCCTACACACACACACACATTCACACTCCTACACACACGCACACATACACACACATTCACACTCCTACACACACACACACATTCACACTCCTACACACACGCACACATACACACACATTCACACTCCTATACACACGCATACATTCACACTCCTACACACACGCACACATTCACACTCCTACACACACTCACACATACACACTCCTACACACACGCACACATACACACACATTCACACTCCTATACACACGCACACATACACACTCCTACACACACGCACACATACACACACATTCACACTCCTACACACACGCACACACACACACACACATTCACAGTCACAAACACACACACACACTCCTTCACAGTCCTACACACAGACACTCCTACACGCACACACACACACTTCTTACATGCACACACACACTTCTACACACTCCTACACACACACAGACACACTCTTACACACACACTCCTACACGCACACACACACACTCCCATATTGTGGGAGGAGCTTATGGTGACTGTTCCTGATTGGTCTCTGTATAAATAAACTCATTGGTGGTGGTGAGGGGCGACAGTAGCTCAGTTGGTAGAGCATTGGCCTTAAGCCCAGAAGGTTGTGGGTTCAATTCCCACCTCTGCACCTTCTCCACCGACTCCCACTGATGACTGCTGTCGTTGTGTCCTTGGGCAAGACACTCAACCCCACTTTGCCCAAAGCCCCCACTGAAAGATCAAGGCTATGCTCACGTGGACTCACCACCTGCAGAGGGTCAGTGAGGGGCTGGTGCTATGAGACTTGGGTGGCATCTCTGACTGCCACCCCCCTGACCCAGAAATGGATTAAAGGGAAGAAAATGGATGGATGGAAATGGATGGATGGCTGTGGTGCCGGATTATCAAACAATAAGAATCTTTTCATCATCTGGATCCTTCACAAAGTCTGTAGTAATGTTTGTGAGTGCGGCCAAGATTGAGAGGGTTAAGTGTAGAGCTGCAACTAACGATTATTTTGTAATCGATTAATCTATCGATTATTTTTACGATTAATCGAGTAATCGCTTGGCTGTGAATTGTGTAGAAAAAAAATATTTTTTCATCACAAAAATCTAAAGTGGCAACACTCGAGGACATATTGAGGCGTAAACTTAAAGTAAATGTTTGTAACAGGCTCTTTGTGCTAATTCTGCTCTGATTGGATGAGACAGACAGATATTCATGAAATTATAAAAACAAAGTCTGTTTTAATCAAAAATACTACATTTTCATGTCATTTTTGCTCTGTTTGAGTCCGTGTGAACCAGAAAACGATTTATCGATTACTAAAATAGTTGTCGACTATTTCAATAATCGATTAGTCGTCGATTAATCGATTAGTTGTTTCAGCCCTAGTTAAGTGTCTTGCCCAGGGACACAATGTCAGTGTTGCATCAGCAGTTACAGAACAGCAGGAATAAATGAACAATAACTCTAAACCAAACTAAAATCAAATGTAATCCCAGCAAAGTCCTTGCTCCGTCAGGACAGTCTGGGACTTTGAGGGTATTACGTTTGGACGTCACAATAATCTAAATGTAATTTCCTTCTCCACGGGACGCGAAGGAAGCGACTCTAGCATCAGGGGTTTACATTCTCTCCTTAATACTTTTGCTGCTGCACTTTCAACCATTTAGAGCAGGGGTGTCCAAACATTTAGTAAGAGGACCACATGAGTTCACCTTGGAGAGACCCATGAGGAAAATGCCGTTAGCCTTATTAGATTTAAGCATGTTTATTGATTGAGCATGTTTGGCGCCCTAGGCCCGGGAGGGATGCTGTTGAGTGCGGCGCTTGCTCGCGCGCATGATCCCCCCGGGGCCTAGGCACTGGTGACGGCAGAGGCAGTAGGCAACACGCTTCGATGAGAGAAGGAGGAGGTGGGGCGGCGGAGGCTTGCAGACTTCAGAAGGCCGGGAAGTGGGAGTCTCCGGCTTTTAACTTGCTGTCCTGGTGGTTATTGGTGGATTAGATGTGGGCGTTGCTGGTATTGATGAGTCGAGGAAGAGCAGCCTGTGGCCTGGGCAGCAGCAGCCTGGTCTACCACAGTGAACTTTCGCGAAAGCTCCATTTCACCAGACTAGTCCAGGGGCCGACGTCACGGACTGAAAACTGTCTTGACCGGTATCGGGTTGTTCTCAGCTTTAAAAAGATCTTTTACGAAGCTGAAGTTGGCTGAATGACAAATGTTTATCATCTCACAGGTTGACGACTGAATCCCAGACGTTCTGGACTTTAGAACAAGTCATGTCTATATTGGCTGAGCTGAAGTTGGATGGATGACACAGTGAACTTCTATTGAGGGCCTTAATTGGCCCCCGGGCCTGAGGTTGGACATGGCTGATTTAGACTGAGTTAGACTAACCAACTCTGAGGAGCACAGGGACGGGCCTCCTGCTGGGACTCTGAGGAGCACAGGGACTGGCCTCCTGCTGGTGACTCTGAGGAGCACAGGGACTGGCCTCCTGCTGGTGACTCTGAGGAGCACAGGGACTGGCCTCCTGCTGGGACTCTGAGGAGCACAGGGACTGGTCTCCTGCTGGTGACTCTGAGGAGCACAGGGACTGGTCTCCTGCTGGGACTCTGAGGAGCACAGGGACTGGCCTCCTGCTGGGACTCTGAGGAGCACAGGGACTGGCCTCCTGCTGGGACTCTGAGGAGCACAGGGACTGGCCTCCTGCTGGGACTCTGAGGAGCACAGGGACTGGCCTCCTGCTGGTGACTCTGAGGAGCACAGGGACTGGTCTCCTGCTGGGACTCTGAGGAGCACAGGGACTGGCCTCCTGCTGGGACTCTGAGGAGCACAGGGACTGGCCTCCTGCTGGGACTCTGAGGAGCACAGGGACTGGCCTCCTACTGGGACTCTGAGGAGCACAGGGACGGGCCTCCTGCTGGGACTCTGAGGAGCACAGGGACGGGCCTCCTGCTGGGACTCTGAGGAGCACAGGGACTGGCCTCCTGGATTCCAATGTGTATAAACTGTGCTATACTAATAACCTTGCCTTGTGTTGCCATTTCAAAGTGTGTCATTGTAGTTTTTCACAGCACAATCCAGGACTCACACTCACAGTTATTTCAGACCCTTTGGACCCCTTGTCACTTCCAAACCGATTTCCTCGTTGTCGCACACCGCGGAGCATGTCTCGCAGCCGCTTCGGGTCCTCGGCAAATAAAGGCGGCTTGTATGTGCCTGCTGGGAGAGAACGCTTCTGTCTGGGCTGCTTTGTTCCCAATTAGGACGTCCCGCTACGACTTCACGTCCACTGCCAAGAAATGTGCCGGCTCTGAGAGGGCGAGGCTGTTATCCAGAACCACAGAGGGGAACGGGCCTTTTTCATTCAGCCGAGAGAGATGTAGATGAGAATTTTTGCGTTTTGATTTGCGCAAAACAAGATGAGAAAAGGGGTAGTTTCCAATCATTTCTTTTGAGGAAATGGGGACATTGTAGCTTCGAGCGTGGTTAGTGTCAGCCGATGGGAGGCGTGGCTGCTCGGGTTGGGGTAATCGCAGGACCAGGTGTGTTGTAAGGATTTCTGGGTTCCTGGAAACAGACTTTTTAAACATGGACTTGTCACCGCCACAAAACTGGGTCGGTCTGAAGTGTCATTATTCAAGGCATGGCATGTTTATTTTTATAGCGCAGTTCATACACAAGGGTTTGAAATGATAAATAATAACAGTACAAGAAAAACAGTGAAGATGAAATCCTTCAGTTGTTGCAGAAACTGAACTGTTTTTAACCTGGATTTCAACATCGTCAGAGAAGAAGTCTGTCTCACATTTTCAGGAAGACTGCTCCAGATTTTAGCATGAATCAGAAACTCTGCCTCTCCATGTTTAGTCCTGACTCTGGGACCAGCAGGAGGCCAGTCCCTGTGCTCCTCAGAGTCCCAGCAGGAGGCCAGTCCCTGTGCTCCTCAAAGTCCCAGCAGGAGGCCAGTCCCTGTGCTCCTCAAAGTCCCAGCAGGAGGCCAGTCCCTGTGCTCCTCAAAGTCCCAGCAAGAGGCCAGTCCCTGTGCTCCTCAAAGTCCCAGCAGGAGGCCAGTCCCTGTGCTCCTCAAAGTCCCAGCAGGAGGCCAGTCCCTGTGCTCCTCAGAGTCCCAGCAGGAGGCCAGTCCCTGTGCTCCTCAGAGTCCCAGCAGGAGGCCAGTCCCTGTGCTCCTCAGAGTCACCAGCAAGAGGCCAGTCCCTGTGCTCCTCAGAGTCCCAGCAGGAGGCCAGTCCCTGTGCTCCTCAGAGTCCCAGCAGGAGGCCAGTCCCTGTGCTCCTCAGAGTCCCAGCAGGAGTTCAGTCCCTGTGCTCCTCAGAGTCCCAGCAGGAGTTCAGTCCCTGTGCTCCTCAGAGTTACTACAACTGAAGGACTTTAGGTTTTTATCCTTATCTTTACTATGTTTAATGTACATTATTTATAATATTAATGAATTGTGTATGAATTCATATACAAATAAACAGACTGAAGCCAAACTTCCTAAATGTGTTAAATCAGCTCCATGTACCGGTGCCTCAGACCGTTACATCATCACTTTCAGCTCAATCCACGAGTTTTTCTCAGGACCAAGTTTCCAGCCTCTGTCTCTTTCCGTAGAAAAGAATATCTTGTGAATCATGAATGAGTCTCAGAGTATTTTGGGAGCTCCGGCTCAGGCCTCATCAAGCCCCAAACTCCAATCAGCAGCTGCCGTCGTCCACGAACGTTCACACAAAGGACCGTCAAGGTTTAGGGAAATGATTGGGTCATTTTCATCTCTACATCTCAGCGAGGAACCTCTGGGTTTAAAATAGACTCATCGAAAGACAGACGCACTTTTGGAATAAATGCACACAATAAAATGGAGGTCAAGGTTGTGTAAAACCAGAACTGGACTTTGGTCTGAAACCTGGAGTTACAAGTTAAATTAGACACGAGTAAGAAATCAATCTGTGTCTATGTCAGGTTAAGTTAGTTAGTTTTAAATTGTTCTAACGTCGGGCCAGAGAGAGACCAGAGAGAGACCAGAGAGAGACCAGAGAGAGACCAGAGAGAGACCAGAGAGAGAGACCAGAGAGAGACCAGAGAGAGACCAGAGAGAGACCAGAGAGACCAGAGAGAGACCAGAGAGAGACCAGAGAGAGACCAGAGAGAGACCAGAGAGAGATCAGAGAGAGACTAGAGAGACCAGAGAGAGACCAGAGAGAGACCAGAGAGAGATCAGAGAGAGACCAGAGAGAGACCAGAGAGAGACCAGAGAGAGACCAGAGAGAGACCAGAGAGAGACCTCAGTTGGTAGAGCATTGGCCTTTGAGCCTGAAGGTCGTGGGTTCGAGCCCACCACTAGACTTTCTCCCCCAACTCCCACTGATGCCTGCTGTGG